GGTCTCATGGGCCTGGGTTGAAGCATCACTGGTGTAGAAAGGACAAGGCCAGGAGAGGTGATGAAGAAAGCAGCGGGGGTCGATAGAAGCCAGTTCTGAAAATTCTTCATTTTTGATCTTTCGTTTTGTCTTTTGAGCTATGCCCGGCTGTGCTCTAAACTTACTTCTGGCTCTGCACTCAGGGATCACTCCTGGCAGTGATCCAGGAACCACATGGGATGCCAGGGATTGAACCTGGGTCTGTTGTGTGCAAGGCAAGCAGCATCCCAGCCCCAAATCTGAGAATTCTTTTATGTGATAATGAGGAGCTGGGGCTGGGGGAATCCTCTCTGCTGAGAGATGTAGTCACAGAAAGAGTAAGCTGGATGCTTATCTGGAAGGTCTTGGATATGGAGAGGAAACTCAGAAGGCTGAGGAGTTAGCAGGAATTTGAGAGTCGGAGAAATGACGGAGGCTGGGAGAGGGCACCCCATACTGTGTATGCACCAGTCCTGGGAAGCTTAAACATGCATACTCTCTCATGCTTAAAATCTCCAAGATTCCAGTGTCGGGCCTACATTTTAATCATTTTTAGGAGGAAGGAGATGGACTCCAGGCAGTGCTCAGGAGGCTTGGGAACCCCAGCCTGGAACTCTCAGCCAGCTTAGCCAGTGGTTCAGTTCAAGTACTGCTTGAACATTGTGGTGTGGGGGATTACTGGGAACACCCTGGAAGTTCTCAGGGCTTCCAGGTTCATACCTGGAAGTGCTTGGGAGACTGTGTGGTGCCGGGGATTGAATCAGGGTCAGTTGCATGCAAGGCATTGATCATAACCTGCCGTAGGAACCTCTGATACAATAGCAGGTGTGCACAGTGTGAGGAAGGCAGATTCCAATCCTGGAGCGCTAAGAGCTGAGGTGACTGGAGTTAAGAAGGAAGGAGTCTGAGCGAATCAGAGGCTGTGATCACAGGGAATTGGGGTGTTTTTATTTTGTTTTGTTTGGGGGTCACACCTAGAGATGCTTAGGGGACCACGTGGTACCCAGGGATGAAACCTGTCTCCACCAGGCAAAGCTTGTGCTCATCCACAGTGTGGATGTGAGTCCCTCAGCCCAGTGCCTTCCCGTGAGCATTGCTCCAGGCGAACACAGCGCTGTCTACATGGCTGTCCCTGTTCCGGTGCCTGCGTGAAAGAAGTAAAGGAAAGATTGATTTTAGTGGTATCTTTGATTAAACTCAACATAGCCTAACTGCTCTCATTTAGTACATGATTATATAAAAGGATGAACATTATTTACATCCGTATTTCTCAACCATTAACCAAAAGGTCACGGTGGGTTCCCAGGATATTCCATGGAAACCACAGATGAAAGTCATGTAAATGGCGGCTTTACGAGGGTGGGGTACATAGTTAGTTACCAGGAGACTAGGGGGCCAATCACTTAGGACAAGGGGCCACAGGAAGAAAGAGTGTTGGAAGGGGCCACAGTCTGTAAAAAGCTTGAGAAACACAGGCTTACATTCCTTTGTCTTTGGAACCTGGGAAGGACATTTGCATCACACTTGAGTTTGGACCAACTACATTTCAAGTGCTCATAGCCACTTCATGGTTTTCGTCCTGGCCAGCACTAGCTAGAATATTCTTCCCCCAACATCATGGCCAGTTCCATCTCATTCAGCTCTCTGCCCAGAGATCCTTCCTTGGCCAGGCTGTCCAAACGGCCGCCTTCGACTCCCAACAGAGTCGTTTTCTCTTTCTTCTAACCCTCACGGTGGTCGGTCTGATACTGGATCAGCTTTCTGTTTATCTGTAGCCCTGTAGGATCTAAATTCCACGAGGGCAGAGACCAGGCTGTCTTCTCAAATGCAATATCCCCAGCAACTATGTCACCTCCCCAGTAGTCGCTCAACAAATATTTTTGGAATGACCCGAAGATTCCAGATTTATCATCTGTCATTTCAGAAGCCCGTGTCCATTTGGCGGGACACGGGGAGGGGAGGGAGGTGGACAGGGAGGAGCGTTGGGTAGGAGATGAGGTGGGAGATGGCTGGAACCGCTCCACAAGCTCCAAGGCTGGGACATTCAGATCCTAATTTAGAGGCAGGGCTTCTTTCTAGCTGTGACTGGGGTGTGTGTTGCTTCAACCCCTGGCGTATCGGGATCTAAGAGAAACCTTGCCCCAAAGTGGCATTTCTGCCTGGCACCAGTAGATGGGGCAGTGTCATAATTTTTTTTTTTTTCTTAAAGAACAGTCTGCTGCCCAGTGCAGACCCTCATCTCTTTCCAACTCTTAGGCAGCTCTGAAACTGCGCTGGGTTGAGGGTCTGTGGTATGGGAAGGCTCAGACATGGAGCTGCCTGGTTCCTGAGCTTCCTGAGGGGTCAGTCAGCTCAGGCTCAGAGGCAGGCCAGGTCGGACCCCTGGGAGACAGCTTGGCTTTGAGCACTGTGAGGGGCATGAATCACTTATGGTTTCATGAGCCTCAACCCTTTCTGTCCTCCTGAGGTTGAAAACAAGCTCATTAAGAAGGGAAGACAGGTGTGGCAGAGAGGAGGGCACTGAGCGCCTGTGAGCAGTGTGACAGGGCCTTGGCTGTGGCTGAGAAGGCTGGCCCGGCCTGCCTGGGGACTGTAACTTGGCCACGGCTTTCCCTGGCTGTGCTCAGGCCCATGAGGGTGACCCTTGCAAGAAGCTGGGTACAGTTTCAACTCCCCTCACGACTCCCTCCTCCACCTTTCTGACCTCTGGACCTGTGTGCAATTCGCAAACGTTAGCTGCTTCAACATGAGGTCTGTTTTTGTAGAGTTTAGACTTGGAGATCCTGGACCTGCTAAAGGTCAGTTAGTCCAGATTAATTTACTGATTTCACCAGAGTTGTTTTGTTGTTGTTGTTGTTGCTGTTGTTTCTGCACTGTCCACCTCCTGGCCACAGCCAAGAGAACCTGGAAATTTGGGTGGAAGAAGAATTAACCTGAGTTTAAGTGATTTAGCAGCATCCTGACAAGTGCGTGCTAATGCTGGGCCTGTTAATGCCTCCCTGAGTCCAGTAGTACAGCTGTGGAAGTAGACATTCCCGCTCCTCTGATGCCATCTTGGGGGCCACTCAGCCATGAAAAGGTGTTTCTTTTCTCAGAGGTAGTTAGAAGCCTTCCCCTCAGCCTTGCCTCAGCTTCCTTCTCTGATCAGGACATTTTCTTCTTTCATTGTTATGATAATGAAATTTCATCTTAATCTGCACATGTGCATGCATTGTTGTGTCCCGTGATTTGGGGCTTTATATCCAGAAACGCTTCCCTTCTGTTCTGCTTGAAGAAATACTTGAAGAAATACTTTCTTGCTTCTCTATTGCTTTTCTTGGTCACAGTGAATGAGTTGTTTCTTTTTCTGTCCTCTCCTAACATGTCCAGTTTTTCTCAGGGTTCTGTCTTCTTGCTCAAGCCCATCTCATTCATCGAACCATTAAGTAGCACTTCCTGTGGGTGCCAGGCCTGAGGGGCTGTTCTCCCAGAGGTTGTTTCCCCATGGGAGCCTAGAGTTGGGGACCGGAAGCTTTTCGGAGACAGGACGTAGATCTGCTGAGTTCAGGGCTGGGCCTCAGAAGGTACTCACAAAAGTTAAACTTCAGCGACAAGGGCTCTGAGAAAATTGGGTTAGAGTTCAAAGAAAGGTTAAAAGTGCTCAAAGGTAGCAGGCTAGGGAATTTCCAGAGGGGTTCCAGTGACTGGGCACTCAGGTTGAGGACATCCAGGGTCCCTCTTGTGAGGATAGGGGAACCCACTGTTTATTTCCAGACTCACTTGGGAGTAGGAACATGTGAATATCCCCCCCCCCCACACACACACATATTACTGTGTGTGTGGGGGGGTGTGTTTTGATGAACATGGACGCAAACAGGTTGTTTCAAGGGCCCAGGAATGAATAACTAGCCAAGGGTCAAAGCTGGTTAGAGGATTAAAATGTGACCGTCCAGCTGGTGTTTTCTTTGCCTCTGTTTTCTTTAACCTATAAAAAAATCAGCAGCACCCATTCTGGAGCAACAACAGCAACGGCCACAAACGCACACTCTGCCACGCCACCAGCACCCACAACACTGCTTTCCTCGATCTTTTTCCGATAGGAAATTAAAGCCCAACTTCCACCACCTCCAGAAGTTTCGATGGAGGCACATTTTATTCAGCGAGTTGCTTTTCAGCCCGGCGGGGGGAGTGTCAGAACCCAAGTGGCCTTTCCCGCGGGGGTAGGGCCGAGTCGGGGAGCTTTCTGTCGCTAACGAGGGATGCTGGCCCATTTAGGACGGAGGGGCCCCATTGGGCCCGGGTGCCACCGCCCGGACCCACGGCTGCGACCGGGTCCCTTTAAGAGACCAGAAACCCACCGGGCGTCCGAGCCCGAAGCGGATCCACTTCTGGGCTCCTCCCCTGTCCCCGCGCGGCGAATGGTTCGCGCCGGCCTATATTTACCCGAGATCTTCCTCCCGGACGGCAAGGATGTGAGGCTGGCGCGCCGGTCAGCTCTCGCAGCACCGCAGGGGGCGCGCAGCTGGACACCACCCCGGGAGCCCACGCAGGAGGTAGCGGCCGAGCTCACCATGCGCGCGCGCCGCCCCCGGAGCCCCGCGCCGCCCCGGCCGAGCCCGAGTCCCCGGCGTCCGGCGGGAGCGAAGATGCAGTGATCGGGGGCGCGGGGCCCGCCGCGGCCAGCCCGACCCGCCTCCGGCCGCACTTGGGGGTGGGGGGGGGCAGCAGCCGTCTCCGGGACCTGCCTGGCCGAGGGGGCTTCTGTTGTTTGCCGCCCCGCTGGAGCGGGGGAGAGCACTGGCCGCTGGACACGCTAGCTGCTGAGTTGCCGCGGTTTGGAGCAAGCTCGGCCCGAGGAACTGTATGCGCGTGTGAGTGTGTGTGTGTGAGTGTGTGTGTTAGAGCGAGGGCGGGCAGGAGTTCCTGCTTATGCGCGCATCATCCCGGTCGCTTTTTCCGGGCGCTTCTATTTATTATTTGGCACGCGCACATCTCTCTCGCGCGCTCCTAACCACCCCCCACCCCCCCCGCCCCCAAGAGTCTTTTTGCACCGTCCTCGTCCCGTCTTGATCTCAGTTTTGGCGTGCCCGAGACTCCGCTCTCGAGAGTCCTTGCCCAGGCCGGGGCGAATCTGTGTGCGCCCCGCAACCCTGCGCCTTCGCTGCTGATTATTTAATTTTCCCTTTTGAAAAATATCCCCCAATCCGCCGCTACCCCCCCTCCGGGGTTCCGGAGCACCGGACTTCCCACTCCTCCACCCCCACGTCGCCTCCGACTGGGCCACTCCCAGCAGAGTTTTATTTTTCGGTCTTGCCCGGGCCGAGCCCGGCCGGGGCGGGAGGCTCAGCGGGGCTCGCACCCCCGCGCCCCGCCGCCACCTCCGCCGCCCAGTTGCGCGGGGGACGCCCTCCGGAGATGCTGCCGTGGAAGAAGCACAAGTTCGAGCTGCTGGCCGAGGCGCCGCCGCGCCAGGCGTCCAAGCCCAAGGGCTACGCCGTGAGCCTGCACTACTCGGCGCTCAGCTCGCTGGCGCGGGCCTGCCCCGAAGGCGCGCTCAGCCGAGTGGGCAGCATGTTCCGCTCCAAGCGCAAGAAGCTGCACATCACCAGCGAGGACCCGACGTACACCGTGCTCTACCTGGGCAACGCCACCACCATCCAGGCGCGCGGCGACGGCTGCACCGACCTCGCGGTGGGCAAGATCTGGAGCAAGAGCGAGGCGGGCCGGCAGGGCACCAAGATGAAGCTGACCGTGAGTGCGCAGGGCATCCGCATGGTGCACGCCGAGGAGCGCGCGCTGCGCCGCCCGGGCCACCTCTACTTGCTGCACCGCGTTACCTACTGCGTGGCCGACGCGCGGTTACCCAAGGTCTTCGCCTGGGTGTACCGGCACGAGCTGAAGCACAAGGCGGTCATGCTGCGCTGCCACGCGGTGCTGGTGTCCAAGCCCGAGAAGGCGCAGGCCATGGCCCTGCTGCTCTACCAGACGTCGGCCAACGCACTGGCGGAATTTAAGCGGCTCAAGCGGCGGGACGACGCGCGTCACCAGCAGCAGGAGCTGGTGGGCGCGCACACCATCCCGCTGGTGCCGCTGCGCAAGCTGCTCCTGCACGGCCCCTGCTGCTACAAGCCGCCGGTGGAGCGCAGCCGCAGCGCGCCCAAGCTGGGCTCCATCACCGAGGACCTGCTGGGCGAACAGCAGGAGCAGGCGCTGCAGGAGGAGGAGGAGGAGGAAGAGGAGCACATCGAGGACTGCCTGGAGGAGGAGGAGGAGGAAGAGGAGGAGGAGGAGAGCCGTGCCGGGGAGGGCGAGCCCGCCGAAGAGCCGGAGGAGCAGCGGGCGCTGGGGGTGGCCATGCACTTCGAATGCGGGGACTTGCTGGACACGCTGGAGAGCGGCCATGAGGAGGCGCTGGAGGGCGGCGGGGTGGCGCCGGGCCCCGGGGCTGGGCCCCCGCCGTGCCTGCTGGGCAGCGCCTCCGACGTGAAGGCCGAGCTGGCGCAGCTGATTAGCGACCTGGGCGAGCTCAGCTTCGGCAACGACGTGCGCAGCCTGCAGGCCGACCTGCGGGTGACGCGCCTGCTGTCCGGCGAGAGCACGGGCAGCGAGAGCTCCATCGAGGGCGGGGGCCCCGACGCCACCTCGCCCGCCGCCGCCTCCTCCGCCACCGCCACCGGTGCCAGCCTGGCCGAGCCGCCCTCGGGCTGAGCGCGCAGCACCTTCCCGCGCGGGCGCGCGCCCCCGCGGCGTCCCACTGTGACTCCCCGTTGGTCATCTCCACCCGCTCCCAGCTCCCCCTGGCACTTTGGGCGTTGTTTCAAGCGGGGCTCCGGTTGCGGGGAGATGGGGAGGGGGGAATAGGCGCAGGGGAACCCCCTGCGAGGCCCAGGCAGGCAGCGAGGGGAGGGCCAGCGCCTGGGCTGACGTTGGCTAGTCCTGCAGGCCCGAGGTGCCATCCGGCCAGTTTCCTGTTTGTGGGGCCTCTGGGGCCCGAGGAGGAGGGACTAGCTCCTCCCCCTCCCCCCCTCAACTGGGAGGGCCTCACACTGTCATTGACCCGTCATTTAAAAAAGCTGTTCTGCATTCAAGGGTTTGCGGCTGTCATGCCACCTCCTTGTCCCCCCAGCTTTTTTGGTGCAAGGACTTGGGTTGTTTACCTCACAGTGGGACCCGTGACATTCTGCCAAATTCCTCAAAAAACTCTTTGTGGTGGGGGAATGAAGGAAAAGATTGCGTTTTGTTTACAGTTCCAGACACCCAGTAGCTTCTTCACGGAGGAGTTGTCCTTTGGAAACACACACCTTCCTCCTGCCCCCAAGATCTCACTCCATGATACTGTGTAAAATATTTTTGCATCGTTGTGAAGTATTTTTGACATCTTTTTGTTTGTTTGTTTGTACATAACTGTGTTCTCAGCTGAATGTTTATATCTTTTGCTGTGCAAAAGGGACCTGTAAGATGTTGTTCAGTTGTATATAAAGAAATGTGTATAAAACATTTTGTTATTTTTTAAGAGAAGCACCGCTCTGGTTCTGTCTGCACGCCAGTGTGAGAGAGAATAAAGAGGACAATTGGACGAACAGGGCAGCGTCTGGAGCTGGTGTGGAAAGTGGCGGGCGGGGCTGGAAGAGGCTCTGTCCCTTAGTCGTGTTCATAGGTGTTAGAAGGCACTTGATGAGAGTGGGGACTTGGTGGCCCCCCAGAACTAGGTATGGGGGTGGAAACCCGCCTACTCAAGCAGAAACTGTCTTTTTCCTTCTCTAAGTTGCAGGACTGTGAGCTTTTTTCTTTTTAAGTTCTCAATGGTGCGATGTGAGTTCAGTTGCTCACACTCAGATCTGTGAGGTCATTGCAGTGAGAGTGACTTTCGACTTCTGAGGTTTCACCAGCTCCTGTGATTTACAGGACAAATCAAGAGTAAGAGGGGCTGGAGCCATAGCACAGCAGGTAGGGCGTTTGCCTTGCAAGCGGCCAACCCAGGTTCGATTCCTAGCATCCCATAAGGTCCCCTGAGCACCGCCAGGGGTAATTCCTGAGTGCAGAGCCAGGACTAACGTCAGGTGTGACCCAAAAAGCAAATAAATAAAAATAATAAGAATGTGGTACACTGAGAAAGATGAAGTAGAAACCTAAAATAGTGTCGTTGTGTTCCCCCCCCCCCCCCCCCCCCCCAGCCCATGGCGCTCTCTAAGGGATGAGGTGGTGTTTACTTTTCTCGGGAGGACAACCAAGGAGAGAGGGAAGTTGCTAAGTTTCAATCAATCAGACACACCAGTGAGTCATGGCACAGGTGAGTGGGTGGGGGCAGATAGAAGAGCCCATTTTTTCTTCCCTTCTACAATTCTCTGTGACCTCACTGGGTGGAGGTCAAGAAGACTGGGCTGTTGTAGTGTTTGTGTGTGTGTGTCTGTGCGCGCTTGAGATTTTGCTTTCTCTGTTGCTGGTGTGTGTGCATATGGGAAGGCGTGTGTGCACATGTTTGGAGCATGTGTGTGTTACGCTTTCTGTGTTTGTGTCTGGGGAGCGTGAGTGCACATGTAGATTGGGCTATATTGGGACGTGTGTGTGTATGTGTGTGTGTGTGAGGGTTTTCATGCATTCTCTGTTTGTTTCTGTTATAAACTCCAAACAGCTGTCTCTAATTTGACTACACCAGTCAGCTGGAAGTCGTAATCAGATACTGCCCAGACTCTGCCTTCTGCGAGTTATTGTTCCCACTGCCCGTTTGCCCCGTTTCACCCAGGTTTCAGAAACGGATAGCAGGCCTGACTTTCTCTGGTGCCTTTAAGTCACTTTGTTTGTTTTCATCACAAGTATATTCTGAGCAGCTAGATCCAGAGAGCCTAAGGAGTCTGGAACTCACAGGCAACATCAGGGCAGAAGGGTGAGAGAATTGTTTTCCCTCGTTAATGGGAATGGCTGGGCATAGGACTGTCTCCAGAAAAAGCCAAGAGAGGTGGGTGGTGGAAATCACAAAATATTCGAAGTCACTTAAGGGCATCAGGACCAGGCTCAGGCCTTTATTGTTGATTATATTTGGGTTTGATTGTATGTTTCCTCTCCCTGCTCCCAGAATGCCTCAGACGTGTAGCTTGGAATGGCATTTTACCCACCACCAGATAGAGATGTCACAAAAGTCAAGGTGTGACTTCCCTAAGGTTCTTTTCTGGTCCAGGCCGTTGTGTGGGCTGGCACTGACCTGTATGGCTAGATTTCCAAGGTCAAATAAATTCCCCACCTACCTGATTCCTCTGCAGTTTGAAATGGACGAGAACATTCAACAGTGGAGAGAAGCTGCTGATCCTGGGCTCTGGGGTGGGGAGAGCCCCCCGGTCTGCACTGCATCCTATGTACTGTCCAGTGACAATGCCAGGGCCAGCTGTCCTCTGTGACAATAGTGCTATGGTGATGGGCCAGAATGCCCAGACTCAAAACCATAGAACTCTAAAGTCTGACTTTTCCTGCTCTCTGACCCATAAATAGAGAAGGGGTAGGGGGTGAAGGGTTCAGGAAGGAGGAAGAAGAAAGCCAACAAAATGCAAAAGAACCGGCCCCCTTACTCCTTCCTGTTGGTACCCTTTCCCTTTCTCCTCCTTTCTCCTCTCCTCTGCTTTTTGGCTTTCTCCCCACTGCACCCCAGGGCTCTGGCCGATACAATTCTAGAAGACATGAGAAGGTGACACATTATTCACCTCTTACACCTCTGCCTTCCATGGTTGTGTCTGCCATGGATGATATCACGGAAACAAACAACAAGACAAAACACCCAATCTCCCCAAACCCCAAATCTAAGAACCACTTGCTCTTGACCCTCAGAGGGGAAGATATGGAGCGATCTGAAACAAAACCAAACAGGTAGAAGACATCTGTGTCCCTGAAGCATCTGAGGGCTGTTCCTCACCCAGTCAGGCCCTTCCTTCCAGCAGAGGGAGAATCTCATCTCTCCTCTGTGTAAGGGGATGATGTTCAAAAGGCAACGAGAGGCTCTCTCCCAGCCTCCCCGCTTCAGCACCGTCCAGCCACTCCGCTGGCTTTTACTGCTGTGGGACACCGCAGTGAAGAGTGACTTCCAGTGGCCGGCCAGGGGCAGTGGCCGGGGTTGGTGCATCAGTGCTCCTAGGAAGCACACAGCCGACATCCCATGTCTGTTTGTACAGTTAGTTGTGTGTATTGTGGGAGAAGGAGCGATGTACTGGGCATAAAAAACACAGTAGTATTTCGTCCTTTTCACTGCTTGGTTTCAGAGATGACCAACTCCAGCGCTCATGCCCACCCCTCCCCAAAGAGCACACCCCTGGGGACGTCCCCACTGTCAACGGACGCATTAGAGAGACTCAGTTAGACTGCGAAATCACAATCCCCTGCAAAGGACGGAGATGCTTGGAAGAATTCTGCTGGGGCCAGAGGAGAGATGTGACTGGCGCCCCCCCCCCCCCGCTACACCCCAAGCTAGAGATGTAGAAGCCACATGAGGGTCACAAGGCATTGCCAGAAACATCAGTACCGAATTGGGAGCCAGCTGTCCCACTGTTCTCTAGCAGGATTTGGTCATTTCGTGATAGAACCTTTCCTCTGTGCCATATGCAGCAGTGTCCTGGGCATTTGCTGGGAGGTGACGTGCTACTAAGCTGGAGATGGTGGGACCCGCTGGGGCGAGGAGCCACATGATTCTAGCTGGGCTCCAAGGGGCTGGAGGTGGGGGGTTTGGGGCAGGGCCCTTGGGAGTCTCTGTACTCTGTAATGTCTGGTCTGATTTGCCATTAACCAGGGTCTTTCCTGACCCTGCTGGGTTCATAGGTCACCGTGTCATCAAGACCCACTCCCAGTGGTGGAAGTGACCCATTTGAACAGCCTTGACTGCCTTTTTTTTGGTCATACCTAGCGGTGCTCAGGGCTGACTCCTGGCTCTACTTTCAGGGATCACTCCTGGCAGGGCTCAGGTGACCATATGGGATGCAGAGGATTGAACTCAGGTTGGCCACATACAAGACAAGCACCCTACCTGTTGTCCTATCGTTCCAGCCCTCTGACTGCCATTTTTTGTGATTCAAAGAAGCTGGCATCTCCATTCACCTCTCTGCTGCCCTTGTCACCCCTACCAGCGAAGCTCCTTCTCCCCCACCCCTCTTTGGCCGTACCTGACTGTGCTCGAAACTTATTCCTGACTCTGTACTCAGGGATCACTCCTGTTGGTGCTCAGGGCACCGTATTTGTGCTTGGGCTAGAACCTGGTGGGCTGCATACAAGGCAAGCACCTTACCTGTCATGCTATAGCTTTGTCTCCTTTGTTTTGTTATTGTTTCTGTTTGGGCTGAGGCACAGCCAGCAGTGCTCAGGAACTATTTCTGGCTCTGTACTCAGCAGTGACCCCTGGTCCTGAAAGGGAGGGACCATAAACAGCATTCGGCCGTTTATGGGCATCAAACTGGGGTTGCCTTCACACAAGGCCTTTCCTACTATACTATCTCTCCAGCCCAGAGCACCTTGTTTTTAAGGCGAATGGCATTTCAACAGCCCCTTGTCCCAACCCCCTCTCCACCTCTCTCCCAGCCCACTTCCTCCTGTTAACACATCACTTCCCGATGGCTCTTCCTGTAATCCAACTCCCCACCTCATCCTGGTTTCATTTTTTCTCCTTCCTACAAACTTAACTCAGCCCTTAGACTATGTAAAAGAAGAGAAGGCCTAAATTAAAGGGAAGACCAGGTCAAGCACCCAGTCACCCAGACACACATCGCAGGCACTGGTTCTGCCCTTCACAGGGATGAGCAAAAAAATGCCCAGAGTCTCACAAGGAGAACCCAAGCCCCAGGGCCCGAACTCTTCAACAGTCTTCAGCTTTTATGGCTTCAAACCTGATTTTTTATTTTAGAATGATAGTTGAATGTTTACTTGGGAGTTGAGTTTTCTTTCTCTCATTTTAAAAATATTCTCCCACATTACACACAATGATAAATATTTGTGATGCCATTTCTCAACACTTAAAAAAATCAATAACTATCCAAAATAAACCAACAAAAATCCAACGTCCCCACCATAAAGGGTACATAAATATTTCAGAGA